GGCTTCACTCTTCTAGTACTCAGAAGATCTCTTCAGGTTAGAACTGTTCTAAACTTATTCCTGATACCCCTTTCTTAAGTCTTCTAATTTGAAGCAGACTTTCTGTTGCTCTTTTTCTAACTTGTCTACTCGATCTTTCTGAGTATCGGCATCTAACTTCCACTGAAATCTTTCAGCCTCGAGTTCCCTTATTCTTAATTTTAACTCCTCCTTTTCAGCTTCGAACTCTTTCCTCGCTATCTCTAGTTCATAGGGAACTGGTTTAAGATGTTCTTCCATACCTTGAGTATCCTCATGCTCCGACACAGGAATAATGTTATTCTTTCTTACTTTTCGCCACTCTAAATAGTTTGGAGTAAGCATGTCTTTAGCAGCTACAACGTCCATACGGAATATTTTCTCCCATGACTTAGCTACATCTTTAACCCTCCTCATATAATTATCCTCATGGTATGTGAATTCTCCTCCATATATCCCATGTGTAATTAGGACAAAATGGCACGCTCCATATTGTTGAAGTGCCAAAAGAGGAGAATATCTTACTCCTCCCCATAATCCAAGGAGTGTTATAGTTTCTGAGTCTCCACATCAGAAAAGAATATCATTATGGGTTAACCAAGGGGCTCTCTAGACAATGTCTTTATCTTGGAGATATGTGAAGATCTTCAATCATTTCTCTTTTGGGACATATTCTGGCCATTTCAGTGTGAGGAACTCTCCCAAAGGAGAGTAAGTGGTGTTGAATCGGTGATAGGAAACCTCGTTAATCTTCCAAAAGTGACTATGGATCCATACCTGAAGAAGTTATGTGTATCCTATAAATCTCCCTCCGCCAGTCTTTCTACAATGATTGAGTGAACAAAAAGTTTCAACTAATATTGTCGATGTCGGGTTCACCCGCTTCGAAAGTTGTTTGAAAAGTTCTATCATAGCCGCCTTAGTATATCCCAAAGTCTTTGGGAAAATGACTAAGACATAGATACCTAGAGCGAAGAGATCAATCACCTTTTATTCATCATGATGATTTTTCATCAATTTCTTGATATGGGTCCAAGCAATTCCTTCTCCTTTACCCTTGTGTTGAGTCCGGTCAATCGCCCACTTTTCATATACCCCTGCAATCTTTGCTAGCGCGTTCTTAAAAGGATGACTTTTGATGAACTTGGTGTAGACTCGGTCCATCCTCATTCCTTCACAATGCAGCAAAGTAGTGTATTCTTCAATGGCGGGTATTATATCTTTTTGGTTGAATGTGAAACAACTGTACCCTGGATTCCAAAATTATACCAAGGCTCAAATTAAGGGTTCGTCTATCTTGACCTAGAGTAGAAGTGCGATATCACCATATCTGTGATAGAATTTCTATTTTTTTTCACCTTTCCAGCTGTCCCAGATGTCTCGCAGTTATTGAACATCATTCTGCTTAAGGCTGATAGAAGCATAACTAATCAGATGTCCTCTTTTTCCTTCTGAGTCATTTCTGACCATAGTCGGACCTTTGTGTTTTTCACCTCTTGTATTACAACCCCTTTGTCCATTAATGCAGATTATTTGGGTATAAAAAATACTCTTGGTGGATCAACACCTCTTTTATAATGCAAATGATAAGTTAAAAGAACAAAAGATGAAAAAAAACAAGTCAGTAAAATAATAACCAAAATAGTACTTGAAAGTAAAAAAAAGAAAAGAAAAATATTCCTACCCCGCATGATATCTAACCAACATGCTTTAATTCTTACCTATACATGTTTTCTACCATGCATGTTAATTTGAAGCAAATCCTAACCGCATATTTTTCTAGTTCGCATGTTTTGAACAGAAAATAAAATAGGAAATAATTCAAGCATCCTATGTTTTGAAATGGAGTTTCGGGGTGGACTCTAATTTCCTGCAGTCTCCTGGTTTAAGTTCTAAAGAAAGTACCCGAATTCTCCTTACTGGTGCCCCCTTCAGCTTGCCAGTTCCTCAGTCCTAAGCCCATTACAAGCCTATATGGACCAAGTTAAACTTGAGAGGATACATTCTCTTATGTCTATATGGAGAATAAATTCACACGAAGACACAAGGTATATGAATCCCAAAGGTTACTTGCTAGGCCTATACGGACAATAAATTCCCACGAAGGCATAGTTTTCACCTCCAATGAAAAGGGTTTGGAGCTCGAGTATAGAGCCAGAGATGAAAAATTTTAAAATCTAAAATCATTGAAAAAATGTCAGTACAACTATTTATTTGAAATATAATCAAAGATAAATAATAAGAATTGAATAAATAAATTAAAATTTAAACTTATTATTTTCGCTTAAAATGACAACCGGAAATTAATTCTAGCTTGACTTACCTGTCCCTAGCAGAGTCGCCAAGCCGTCATAACCGTCTTTCGGGTGGACCCGAAATTGGGCTTCGATTTAAATAAAACACGTTAGAGCCGCCACCTATCATTTAAAATATTTAGGTTAATTGGACACCATCTTATCTGATCTGTGTTTTACCAGAAATATGTCGGATTCAGGAGTCGGTTACAGTCAAGGAAGGATTATCACCCTTGAACTGCCCTTTCAGTACCATTTAATTTGTCAGTTATCTTAATTGCAAAAATTGAAATTTAAATTTAAATACTCGATTCAAATAACTTACCTTTGATTGGTAAAAAATGCCCCTAAAAAAGGTCAAAAAAACATATTAAGTCGTGAAATAATAGGAAAACACAAAAAAGTTAAAATAAATAAGTAAAAGAGTTAAATACAACAATATTAAAAGTAAAAAGAAATAAAATAGAATAAAATTAAGTAAAATTAGGAAAATAAAAAATTAAATTAAAAAAACAAAAGAAAATTATTTAAAAAAAGATGTTAATAAAATAATCCTAAAAAGAAAAATAAACAAATGAAAAAAATAGGGGACCAAATTGAATTGAATAAATATTTATGGTTTAAATTAATATTATAAAATAATATGCCAAAGGAAAAAAAATTAGGGGATTAAATCATCAAATATAATAAATATAACGAAGGATTAAATTGAAATAACTAAAAATTTAGAGGCAAAATTGAAATATATGACTAAAATGAATTACACTTCGAAAGTTCAGAGGCTGAGGAAATAATTTAACTATTAGCTAATTATACAGTGGCCCCCCTATAAATATCTCTCAAAACCGAAAACATAACATCCCTCTTTCATTTCTCCCAAACTCTCCCCTCTCATCTTCTAAGCTCTCTCCACACTCCCTTAGTCGGTCGAATACCGACCAACCTCCGATGAAGCCATCCACCGCCGACCGTCGCTCCGACCACCATCCCCGATGGCCGAAATTCTAAACCCTTACTCGGAATACTCCTCTCGCCACCCTCATGTCGAAATCAAACCCCAAATCCTCTAAATATCCCCTAAACGACGTAAATCTAACTCAAAAGATTTGGGTTTTACCTTTTTCGATGGCTTTCTTCGGTTTCTGGCAGTCGCTCCTCCTCTAGACCACGACCGAAACTGTTTTCTTGGGTTCCTTGTGATTTTCCGCGACTCCTACAAGCTGTTTCACTCAGTTTTTGCTTGATATTTATGTTGCTTTTGTTTTGAACGCTTCGTTTTCTTTGTTGTGTATTGTGTTTTTTGCTTGGTTGGTATTCTGATCTTTTGGGGATATTTTTTGGTTACTTGGTTGCCTCTTGATCGATTGTTGTTGTCGTTTGGTGTGCCTCACCAAAGGTATTTATACCACTCCTTCGGGGGTCTGTTGCTGATCTTGAAAGGGTCGTTCTCCTCATTTCAGGCTTACCGTCATTCACATGGCCGGGAATCCCGGGATGGTGCAGTCCTGATTTTCTCAATTGGTCGGTTCTGCTTTTACTGGGATTTTGGTTGCATGACCGTTGGATTGGGTCAAATCCAACGGTCCAGATCTAATGGTGTGACCATGCATCTCTTTAGGGTTTTGTTACCCTCGGTTTACTTCAATCTTGGTTGTTCGTTCGTGCTTTGATCGCACGACTCCCATCTGGGCGGCGCTGTAGCTAAATGGAAAAACCCTAATATGTTGGGCCTTCGGGTGTGCTTGTTGGGTCAGGTTATCTTACCCGGGTAGGCTTCCTCACACCCTTGTTGGACTTGGATCTAAAAATAAAAATAGTAAATAGTAAATAAATAATAAATAATAAAAAAAATAAAAAAATAAATAAAAATTATATTATAAAATATATTTCGAAAAACGTTTTCGAAGCATATACATATGATATATTTTCAAAAACATTTTAAAATTATATATTATATATGCTTTCAAAATGTTTTTCAAAAACTATATATATAATATATGTTTCTAAAATGTTTTCAAAACTATATATTATATATATATATATATATATGTTTTCAAAGTGTTTTCAAAAACTATATATTATATATATGTTTTCAAAAACTATATAATATATATATATATTTTCAATGTGTTTTTAAAAGCTATATAGTATATATATTTTCGAAAAAAATTATATATTATTATATATATATATTAAATATAACCCGGGTGAAAATGAGTGGTTAGACTATTATGATGTAATACAATATGATTACTATAATTAGTATATTAATTAATCTTAGAAAAAATCTAATTAAACACGTAAAAGGTTGAAGCATTTGTAACGGAAAAACCCGTCTTCTTTCTTCCTTCTCTTTTTTTCATTTTCTTTCTTCTCCCTATTGAATGGGAGAGAGGAGAAAACGAAAAAAAAAATTCTTCTTTGATTACAGAAATTAATAAAAGAAACCCTGATTAATATCGAATAAAACATCAAATCCCCCATTGTCTTTCTCCCTTTCCCTTCCCTCTTTTGTCACTTGCCATCGTACAATGTTTTCATTTTTCTTTTATGATTCCAGATCATTGTGATTGTTTATTATTCTTGTTTAATGATCATTAAAAATTGTATATTCTGGAAGTTTTTGAGATCCAAGGTCGTATTAAAAATTCTTTTTTTGTTATTTTGATGAAACTGATTGCCGTTGGATCACATTGTAGAAGGTATTCATATTGATGGTATTTTTCAGAAGGCAAAACAATTAATAGAAGCTGTAAGGAATAAGGAGAAAAGGAAATGGGATTTTATATATTGTTATAGCAATTGGATAGTTGGAGAAGAAGATTAAGGTGTGAGGGAATTGAGAGTCGTTTCAGTTTTTCCCAATGGGAGATGTCTGTTCAAGTTGTTGCGGTTCCACTCCACCTGAAGATGAACAAAAGAAAAATGAAACCGAAGGTGGAATGGTTGAAAATAAAGAAGGCGAAGGCGAAGGTGAAGGCAAAGCCGAAGCCAAAGCTGCCGCTGATACTGCCGGTGCAGGAGACGGCAGTGGCGATGATGCCATCCAAAAGGACCCCCCTGAAGAGATGAAGATTGTAAAGGACGAGAAAGGATCCGGAGAAGAAATTCAAACCCAAATCCAAACACAAAAATCAAAGTTGACCCAAAGACAACAATCAACAATGTCTATGAAGAGGCAACAATCGTCGGTTTCGATGTCGATGACTATGCAGAGGCAACAATCCAAGGCTACCCAAAGGCAACAGTCTAAGGCTCAACCCCTAAGACTTGAATCCAAACCATCACAGATTGCTATCGCGGCAGCAGCGGCTGTTGTGTCGGGGAAAAAGGAAGAGACTAAGGCTGATACCGCGAAACCTCGAAAGCCTCATAATGTGAAGAGGCAGGCATGTGCGGGGCTGAAGGTGGAGTCTGTGTTACAAACCAAGACAGGTAACTTGAAAGAATATTATAACTTGGGGAAGAAGTTAGGGCAAGGCCAGTTTGGTACAACTTTTCTTTGTGTGGAGAAAGGTACCGGTAAGGAGTATGCTTGTAAGTCAATTGCCAAAAGGAAACTTGCAACTCCAGAAGATGTAGATGATGTCAAGAGGGAAATTCAGATAATGCATCACCTGGCTGGCCACCCTAATGTTGTCACCATCAAAGAGGCTTATGAGGATTCCGTGGCCGTTCATGTCGTCATGGAGCTGTGTTCCGGGGGAGAACTCTTCGATAGAATCATACAGAGGGGGCATTATTCCGAAAGAAAGGCGGCTGATCTAGCAAGAACTATAGTTGGTGTTGTTGAAGCCTGTCACTCCATGGGAGTAATGCATAGGGATCTCAAGCCTGAAAACTTTCTTTTCATTAATCAACAAGAGGATTCGCCTCTTCAAGCCATTGATTTCGGATTATCAATATTCTTCAAGCCTGGTATGTTCAAAATACTTATATCTTTTGGTGCTTGATTTTGGTGTTGTTTTCCTAACCAAGATGCTAAAAATTTCAGGGGATACCCTAAGTGATGTGGTTGGAAGCCCATACTATGTCGCACCCGAGGTTTTGCAGAAGCGTTATGGTCCTGAAGCAGATGTGTGGAGTGCTGGGGTGATCGTTTACATTCTCTTAAGTGGTGTGCCTCCTTTCTGGGGCGGTAAGAACATTTTGAACTTGGCACTTTGAGCCTTTTCGTTTAACAATTGGTCTATTTCTGTTTGTTTTTATTTGTTTGTTTTTTTCTTCTTTTTTGTATACAGAAACCGAACAAGAGATATTTGAAGAGGTTTTGCATGGTGAACTTGACTTCGCATCTGATCCTTGGCCTAACATCTCCGAAAGCGCGAAAGATTTAGTGAAGAAAATGCTTGTCAGGGACCCAAAGAAGCGGATAACCGCGCATGAAGTACTGCGTAAGTCTCTTTTACTATGCTAGCTAGGATGATGAGTATTAGAGAACTTGGATGTTAATAACATGGTTGAGGCTTGTTTTAATTCTCAGACGATGTTCGTTTTCCAACCTTTTTCATGTACTTGTTGGTTATCAGCACCTTTAGGATCATCCAGATCGCCTTAATTTCATTTCCTAGTAATTCAAGTCATCACCCTTGTTCACCATAGAATTCTATGATTATTAGTTTAGCTAGATGACTCTGTTTGGTGTTTCACTATGTGATTTCATGAATTTGCCCATCTTATTTTGGTTCCTTGCAGGACATGCTTGGGTAGCGGTCGACGGGGTGGCTCCGGACATGCCACTTGATTCCGTGGTCTTGAGTCGTATGAAGCAATTTTCCTCAATGAACAAGCTAAAGAAAATGGCCTTGAAGGTAAGTTTTTGCCTCTGAAACAACATTGGTATATAAAACTCTAATTCATTGCAAAGAATATTAGCTAAAATGCCTTCCCCTTGTTCTTTTATTTTTCAGGTGATTGCCCAGAGACTTTCCGAAGAAGAAATAGCTGGGTTGAAGGAAATGTTCAAGATGATAGACGCAGATAACAGTGGCCAAATCACATATGATGAGCTCAAAGTTGGGTTGAAGAAATTTGGTGCTGATCTTGATGAGTCAGAATTCCATGCTCTAATGAAGGCTGTAAGTTACATTTTCAGTAATGAACATCATCAAACTAACATCCTTTGACCCTTTCTGTTTGCTCGGAAATCGCAGGCGGACGTTAACAATAATGGTACAATCGACTACGAAGAATTCGTAGCTGCAACATTGCACTTAAACAAGATCGAAAGGGAAGATAATCTCATGGCCGCCTTCTCGTATTTCGACAAAGACGGCAGCGGCTACATCACTCAAGATGAGCTTCAAAAAGCTTGTCAGGAGTTCGGTATCGAGGAGATCCACCTGGACGAAATGATCGGAGAAATCGACACGGACAACGTAAGTCTGCATGCTTATATCAGTGTAAGATTTACATGTGCAAAAGCTGGGGGTTGGACTGATGTTCTTGTGGCCTTATGCAGGATGGTCGGATAGATTATAATGAATTTGTGGCAATGATGCAGAAAGGGAACCCTGAAATTGGTGGTAAGAAGGGTCTTTTTACCAATGGAGTTAAAGGCAATGCCACTTAGACAACCAAATACAATCCTTCTATTTAGTGGTTTATTTACTTATTTTATTTAATTTGCCCAAAGTTTGAGGCTCATCATTCATATTATTCGTTCTTTCATCCATCAGGAGCTCCTTTCAACACCCACATGTAATTGAGTTTCTTTAATGTTCCTGAAAAATGTTTGTACACATTTTTTGAAACCTATCTTCTTTTCATCCATTTTTATATACTATTTCTAAAAAATTAAAATGAAAAATCACGTCTGTTTCTCTCTTGGGTGGATGCTTTTTATTTTCTCTTTATTAATTCCAATTTTGATGTCAATTGCCCTACTCGTTTGGCTTTTAATTTTGTGAACTACAGATTTATCGACCTTTGACGGGTTTAATGCCCGATAGAGTAGTTTTTTTTAAGAAAAAATTATGATTCCGTTAAGAAGTCAATAGTATAACTAGGGAGTAAATGGATCGAATTTGAACGAATAAGGTTGTGTTTGTATTCATTTGTTTTTTTTAAAAGTGTATGTGTTCAGTTCGTGAACATATTTATTTAACATTCGCAAATATATTCGTTTATATGTTCTTGAACATGTTCATTTATGTGTTCGCAAACATGTTCATGTTCGTTTATATATTAAGAAAATAAGCAAAACCAACTAAATATATCGTATAGCATCCATGGTAATAACAAAATACAATCATTATATTTCAAATTTAATCATGTATTTAATTTAGTTCGTATATTCACTAATGTTTAAGTTGTAAAAAATAAAATGTAAAAGAACTTATAAACGAGTAATCAAACGAACTTATTCAAGAATATAAATGAACAAGTCGATAATCGAACATGTTCGTTAATATAAATACAAAAATGGGTGTGTTAGAAAGAATCGAGTATGTCTAGTTTCTTTTAGGTTATTTTCACGTATTTCACCAAAATAATATTTAAGATTTTATTTTTCTATGTTTAATAAGTCTTCCTCTTTTTGCAAAATTTGTGAAAATATTTATCTTATCTTGTAAAAGTTTTTATTTTACTTTTATATTTTAAATTTTCTTTCATGATTTATCTTTTCGTCGTTTCTATAATTGAGGAATAAGTCGACCGGCTCTTCTCTGGTCTATAAACTTAAGGCGATGATAGCAACTGGTGGAAGCAGGTGGGCAAATGTTTCACTCTTTTTGCTCACAACTTGCCTGACAGATGGTGTGGTTTGGCTGTCATGGTAATGTTGTTTATTCCTATTCAGAGGTGTCGGCTAGGTAAGCACTAGCTTTGGTTTTGTTGGTTCTCTTCAATCCATGATGCGCGTATGTTTAAGCTAAATGGAAGTTGGTTGTGGGGCTGCAAAAGGAAGGGAGCATGAGGAAAGTGGGCCAAGGGTCTAGAGAAGCTGAGGTTGAGCCCTCCAATCCCCTCAGAAGGTCAATATCCTTCGGGTAGAATTAGAAAGGTCGTCATGGAGATAGTGACAGGTGCGTTGAAGTGGTCGGCGTTGTTGATAACGTTGTCCTTCAACGTTTGGAACAGTGCATCGTCCGAACAACTCTTCAAGTGATGGAAGTGGATAGTCTCGCGTCTCTGTTCTTGTCTAAAGGTTTTGATGATATTTCTATTAGGAAAATTGCAGGTTCCCAATTTCTTCTTGAGAGAAGAAACACAGACTCTTTGTCTTCGATGGGGCTGGGATTGGCTAGCCGACTACTTTCATGAATTGGTTGGGTCTAATGAGTTCTCCCCCTGCAATAGAGTGATGTATCGATCCATGGGGTTCTTTTATTTACTTGTAATAACATTTCTTTTAAAAAATATTATCGAGCGTCGGAGTAAGATGGTCTCTATCAAAGATGAATATCTTCTCGATCGGGTCAGACTTCTCAACTAAGTTAATCAAAACATAACGTGTCATACGAAACTTATAGAGGAAAACATCTCTCTCTCGTGTTCCTTGTTAGAATTAATGAATCCTATTTCTCTTCTCAGGATTTATCCCAGCTGTTGAAGCCGATTCTTACTACGATAGTGATAAGGATTTGTCAGCAGAATCAGGCCAGAAAGAGTCATTGAAAGGTGACGCCAGTCAGAATAGTGATTATCCTGCAAGTCCTCCAACAGATGATTCACAAGAGAAAATTCGCCCAAAAAAATCCAGAGAAAAAGTCTCTAGTGTTTAATAAAATATTATCAAATCAAACAATGCCAAAATCAGTCCACAAGTCGGACTGTTATAGCCAAAAATCGTCTTTATTCGAATTTTGTCAAAAAAATAGCAAAATCCCGAAAATCGCTCTAAATTGAAATTTGAAATAAAATAAGCAATCTCCAAAAAAATCCGGCCTAAATCGGATTTAAATTGACTTCCTAATTGACAATCGAAATATTACCATAAATAGTAAAAAATATCTAATTCTAGTGATTCGGAGGAGAAAACGGCAGAATTTGAGGTTGAAAAAAAGGCCACATGGAGCGTAACTCAATGTGGAGAGCGTGCGCGTCGAAAAAAGCTTTCCGGATTGGGGTCTTATGCGTGATTCTGACACATGTAGCCAAAGTTATGGCCAAAAGACTGAAACATACTCAAAACGACCCCAATGAGGAACATGTCACAATCAATTCCCGCCTTTGCGCTGATCTACCAATTCATGGTATCTCAGCGCCATCAAGGTGCAATCTGATAGCTCAGCATCATCTGTCTCGGATCCCCCTGCATCAGTCAACCCGGGTTGGAAAGAACTCGTCCTCGAGTTCAGAGTAGTGTCATCAGAATCCACAAAACAATGACTCAGGTGCTTCACATTAAAGACATCAGAAGTCTTCAAGTGGCTGGGAAGGCGCAACCTGTAAGCGTTATCATTGATCTTCTGCATGACCTCACAAGGTCCAATCTTCTGATCCTTAAGCTTATTATACTCACCAACAGGAAAACGATCACTAGTTAATACAACCCAAACAAAATCACCAACATCAAAAAGTACCTGACGACGATGATTGTCGACCCGAGTCTTGTACTTGGTATTGCTCTCATGAATGGTTTGTTTCACCTGCTCATGGATACCCCGAAGATACTTTGCCATCGCATCTGCTTTAGGACTGAAATGACCTATACGTGGAATAGGGGCTAATTCCAGCACCCCGGATGGGTTCTGACCATAGACAATCTCAAATGGGCTTAAACCTGTGGTTCTGTTTTTTGATCTGTTGTAAGCAAATTCTGCCTGAGGCAATGCCAAATCCCACTGCTTCGGCTTCGTTCCTGCCAAACACCTCAAGAGGTTTCCCAAACTTCGATTCACCACCTCGGTCTGGCCATCCGTCTGGGGGTGGTAGGCGCTACTGAAATTCAACTACGTTCCCAGTTTCCCCCACAAGCTCTTCCAGAAATGACTGATGAACTTAGTATCACGATCTGAAGTGATGGATCGAGGAACACCATGTAAACGCACAATCTCCTTGAAATAGAGATAGGTAATCCGGTCAGCATCCATAGTCTTTCTGCAAGCTACAAAATGAGCCATCTTGGAAAACCTGTCAACCACAACAAAGATAGAATCCGAGGCCCTTTGGGTGCGGGGTAAGCCTAGTACAAAATCCATGCTGACATCGAACCAAGGAGCTTCAGGAACAGGTAAGGGAGTGTACAAGCCCGCATTGGTGAGAACTCCCTTAGATCGCTGGCACACATAACAACGGTCCACATAATGGGCCACATCACTAGTCAACTTGGGCCAATAAAAGTCAGAAGAGATAAGGGCCAAGGTCTTATCTCGGCCAAAGTGTCCCTCATTATGGAGTTCACTTATAATTTGTTGCCTCAATGAACAATCTGGAATGCACAACTGTAATCCACGAAACAGATACCCATTATGCAAAACAAAATCATGACGGTGACCCTCAGTTACCTCCTGAAATATCCTTCCAAAGGAAGGATCAGCTGCATACATATCTGTGAACGTCTCAAAGCCTGCAACTTTAGTACTCATGGTGGTGAGAAGTAAGGTACGACGGCTCAGGGCATCTGCGACGCAGTTCAAACTCCCTGCTTGGTGCCTCAGCGTAAAAGTGAATTCTTGCAAGTATGCCATCCACTTGGCATGACGTCTACTCAGCTTGTGTTGTCCATTGATGTATTTTCAAGGCCTCGTGATCGGTAAACAGAATAAACTCCTTTTGTACTAGGTAGTGACGTCAATGCTTCAGGGACTGAACTATGGCATAGAACTCCAGATCATAAGTGGAATAATTTTTCTTTGATCCCGATAGTTTTTCACTGAAAAAAGCAACCAGACGACCTGTCTGACTCAGAACACCACCAATGCCAACGCCAGATGCATCACAATTTACCTCGAACACTTTGTCAAAATCTGGAAGTGCCAAAACTGGAGCCTCGGTCATCTTTTGCTTGACCAGTTGAAAACTGGCCTCTGCCTCCTCAGACCACTGGAAATCACGCCCCTTGAGGCACTCTGTGATAGGGGCGATCAGAGTACTGAAATTTCTAATGAATCGGCGGTAAAAAGACGCCAAGCCATGGAAACTTTGGATGTCATGTAAGGTTTTTGGTCTGGGCCACTCCAAGACTGCATCTACCTTTGAATGATCTGCATGAACACCATCAGTAGACACAACAAAACCAAGAAAAGTCACAGAAGTAGTGAAGAAAGAACACTTCTTTTGATTGACAAACAAGCACTCCGTTTTCAGCATCTCAAAAATAGCACGGAGGTGATCGAAGTGTGAAGTCCATGTCGGACTATAAACGAGGATATCATCGAAGTAAACTACAACAAATTTCCCCATAAAAGGCCGCAAGACCTGATGCATAAATCTCATGAACGTACTGGGCGCATTGGATAGCCTGAAAGGCATGACCATCCACTCATACAACCCTTGTGGTGTTTTAAACGTCGTCTTCCACTCATCTCCAAGTCTTATTTTGATTTGGTGGTAACCGCTCTTAAGGTCAATTTTTGAGAAGACCTTAGAACCAGATAGTTGATCCAACATATCATCTAGACGGGGAATTGGAAATCGATACTTAACTA